TCGAACAAGCCAGACATGAATTTTCTCAAATCATGATACCCCTTCTGCATGTTTGCTGAATTTAGGGTACAAGAAGAAACAAGTGCATTATGCTTTATTTATGTAAACTTGAGCGAAACTCTGCCTAGAGCTGGACACAAAATATTGGCGCAAATGAAATTGCAAAACATAATTCGTAATAAGAAAATGTTTTACTATTTCATTGTGAGCTGGCATGAAAAAGCTGGTTGAAAGAAGGAAAATAATATACTAGAATTACATTTTCATGCGAATTGATGATAAATTGCCAAGAATATTATCAGCCAGCGCGTGGTTCGGAGCTCATGATTAATGTCCCACGAATTATTAATAACAATAATAATAATAATAAGCACAGGAATGAAATTGGCAAATGAAAATGGCAGAGAACACGGCGAACATATAACTATAGCCTGTGTCTGAGGCAATGATAATGATGTTTTGGCATTTCATTTGGGGCATTGTTTGGGCCGCCTTTTGACAAGCCCAGCCGAAAATGCTTGAGAATATTTCAATCAATTGTGTGTGCGTGAGACGGCTGCGAGGCTGCCTTGTGCCGCTGACTTTTACAAATTGAATTTATTTATTTGATTTGACAATTAATTCCAAGCAATTTGCGTTTCAAGTTTCTTCGGCTAGTCTGGCAAGATTAATAGCAAGGGCGCGGCTCGGTTTACTTTAAAGCTGCGCGCGGCTAAAAACGGCGGAAAAACGGTTAAATCAAAAAACATATAAAAAACTGTTAAATTGTATGTCACTTAGCGCTGCGAAACGAGCGAAACGAAAACGAGAACGAGGCAATAAATACTCGTATATGTTGTACATGTGTGCAAACATACATCAACATATGCGGCGCAATAAATTTGTACAATAGCAGCAGCAGCAGCAGCAGACGCTAGCTCGACTAACAGATACCCTTTACACGGCCAACCAACAACTAGCAAGAAATTTGTATTTGAGCCGGCGCCTAGCTGTTTGCTAGTTCAACGCTGCGACAAATAAGCTAAGCAGTCTCCAGTCTCATTCTCAACTCTATTCAACATACATATTTCTACAGAGATATATCGCCAAAAAAAACCTTACAGCTTACATTTTGCATCGCAAGTATCTGCCCAGCTTGGGTCGCAGCTGCAGCTGATCCCGTTGACCTATATTAGGTATAAGTATAAGTATATACCCGGTTAACATGCATTGCACAGGGCATAACAAGCTGCATTGTGGCGCGCCCGAAAGTATGCCATGCGCAAAGTTCATTGCTCCAAATGTTTATGTTTATGGGCATAGGCTTATGCGCATTTTATGCGCGAAATCAAGAAAAATGAAAATGCATTTTCATGCCAGCCTCCGCTCCTCTCACCGACCATTTCTTACACTCTGCTTGCTGTGGCTACCCACACCCGAACCTCTCTGTCTGTCTGTTTGCCTGTGGCTGCACAAATTTCAAGCCATTCGGCGGTTCCGTCGACTGTGTGTGTAAACAAGGCCTGAGCCTTTGAATGCCTCTTTCTGTGTGTGTGTGTGCTTTTTGCCTGGTTTACAGCCGTTGTTGCCAGCTGTCTTTATCGCTGCTCTGTTCTTTTTTTCTTTTTGCCTGCTGCGCCTTGGCATTTGGCCAGCAGCAGACTTTGCAGCTTTTCGGCCTGGGTCAACACTAATGAAAACTTCAAACAGCTGGGGCCAATAGCCAGCAATTGCGCTTAGGCGGCAAAGTTTCTGGCCTAAACGCTGGCCATTCATAATGCAGGTGAATTGCACCAGAAAAACATTTAATCTAATTATTGCTAAGTAGCCAATTTGCCACACGGCTGTGGCACACGCCTCACGGGTATTTATTTCCATTCTCCAGATATATACCACAGCTAAAAAAGACTTTCTTCGAGACGCCGCAAGTTAAATGCCCTAATGGACAGTTATATATAAAAGTATTTGTGAAGCTCGCAAGTGCTGCATTTTGCTAGACAGAAAAGTGCATAGAAGCACAAAATGTGGTACCTTTTAATGCTATGTATACATCTACTTTATATATTTGCATGTTCAGCGATGTCTCCTACACATTTCATGACAAAATTATAGTACCCTTACTGGGTTGGTATAATAAATACATATATCCAAGCCAGCAGCGCGCTGACAGCGAGCAATGCAAGTTTTCCTGGGCGAAAAGAAAAGCAAACTCGGCTAAAATGGCAGCAAAACGTGGCACAGCCGCATGCGGGCACACACACACACACAGCTAACACCTGGGCGTGTTGGGTGGTTGTCGTGGTTTCTGTGCCACGTTGTCAGCTGCATGTGTGGCAATAATTTTTGGCTAGCTGCTTTGTTTGCGCGCTTTGGGCGCACAGTTGTAGCCAAGTCAGCGCCAAAAGTCATAGACACTTGGCTTTGCCTGCCACAATTGTTTTGCCAGGTAAAACAAAAACAACAACAGCAACAACAACAATAAGGAACAACAAACAAGAACTCGTCGCAACCTGTGCGGGTCCATAAAGCAGCCAGATAATCGCCTGGCATGTTCGAATTCCATTTGGGGTTCGTTTTCCCACTTTCAGCCAAGCGCCACTCTATTATTACGGAGCTTGGCATTTAATTTAGATTAACATTTCGCACAGCTCTCTCTCACACACACACACACACCCAGCTCAACCCCTGCTTCCGCTTTCCTTATTACAGCTTTAAGCCTGAACGCGTTTTTCCTTCCTTTCTTTCTCTTTTTTTTTTTAAATTTTGGTGTGTGTCCCACATCAAAGCGCATTACGAGCCGGGCAAAAGCATAGGAAGAAAATAAATGAGAAAAATCGACAGCATGTGTGCTTTTACTTTGCTTAAGCCAATTGTTTAGCTTCAGTTTTTATGGTTTTATCAGGTACAAGCAGATATAAGCACATATAAGAAGTCATAAAATCGGCGCCAAGTTCTCTAAATGAGTTTGTTCGGCAAAGCACGTTAAAAAGTTTGCTATCAAATATCAGTTAGAAGAGGAAATTTCCCGACCGAAATTATTTGTATAATTAGCGCGAGCTGCAGGCAGATACAAAGTTTCTCAAATTGCCAACATATAACATTTTTATTGTGAGGAATAAAAACAAAAGCTAACAATATGAAAATAGCGCATTTTCCTACTGCATTTGAACCAGCGACTGCGCGTTTAATTTTCAGAAGCTCAGACATATTTTTCAATTTAACAATTTTTGCTATATTTGAACCAGCGCCTTCTCTGCTTGCTTGTCCGACGCTCTGGCGAATGTAAAAATTGCCAATTTCTGCATTTGAACCGGCGACTTTTAGTTCGTTTGTCCGACACTCAGACACATATAACAGTTGACAACTACAGCTGCATTTGAACCAGCGACATCTCGCTTATTTGTCCAAAATACAAATTTTCAAAATTTCTGCTGATTTGAACCAGCAACATATCGCTTGTTTGACCGACACTCAAATAGCTAAGCTACACAGGCGGATAACGTCACGTTTGCAAAACACAATCGTAAAAACTTTCACCAACTTTCCCACTACGTATTCCCCTATCCCCCCTTTTTCGACCCAAAAGGCAACTTCTGTAAGAATTTCGGCTTTTCAGCTCTTGTGCCTTGTGTTGTGTGTTGATCACCATTCAGGATAAAGAAAGAACAAGCATAAGGTTTATGGCAGCCCTCGCTGGGCAATTTATGAATACACACAGACACACACAAACACACACGCACACACACACACACACGCACATAGTGCATATTAAGCCCATGCAAATCAACGGCCCAAAAGTATGCAACACTTTTTGCGTTACACTTTTGCCAAATGGTTTCTCGTTGCCGCACGATTGAATAACAGCAAAGCGCGCCGAGAACGGGTGGGCAGAGGCGCCACATCAATGGGGCAAGCATGTGGAAAAAAAGGAAGGCTGAAAAGCGGACTGAAAAGTATCAGATGTACGTAGCGCTCCGTTACAGTTGCAGTTTCAGTCTTTGGCAGCAATTTATTTACGCCGGGCTTTGCGGTTCTTTAGGGCCGCAGTTGGAAGGCGCAAAACCAACTTGTAAAATGGCGCATGTGTGCGTGTGAGTGTGTGTGTATGTGTTGGTTGCGTATAGTGTGTGGCTGCAGCTGTGAAAAGTGGAGCATACAAACACGTGTAGTTGCTGCTGTTGTTCCCGTGACGCGGGCCAGGCCGGGCATGTGTGCCACTTCTGCAGCATGCAACGTTAAGCGTTTGCATTAGTGGCAATGAGGCAGCAAAAATATAAACTGAGTAAGAAAATAGAAAAAAACCGGTTGTCGCCTTTAAGTCGAAACATATTCCATTACATCAGCTGTCAGCAGTCACAACCAAGACGCCAGTCATAAGCCCAAAATCGCATTTGGCTCGCTGTCCGCAGCAATTTTTCCATTATTCATTTCGCATTTTTCATTTTCAATTTTACCATTTTCCAGCGCACTCAATTGAAATCTTCGACAGTTGTGCTGTAACAACCAAAGGCACTTCAGAGTTGACACTTTGATTTCGAAAATCTTTTTTTTTTTGCTAGAAACAATTCCGAAGGGACAACGCTCAAATAGAAAAAACTCGCGCGCTTGCCACAAACTGCAGGTACAACGGGGCGTATGAGTGCGCATTGTGTGTATCTATGAGTTGCGACTGTATGTGTGTGTGTGTGTGTGTGTGTGGGTTCTGCTGGCTTTTATAAGGCATAACAAAAGCTTATCGCCAGCATAATAGAGACACGCGTCTGTGTAATAAAGTAGCAGGCGGGCGAGGGGGCGGAAGGGGGGGGGGGGGGGGTGGGGCAGGCAGTCAGTCAGTTGGGGCATTATCATTAACATTATTATTATTATTATTATTATCATTGCAAAAACAGCGCATTGTCTGTGCGTTTGTGTGTTTCTCTCTGCTGGCAACTTAAGTGACTTTTTGTTCTGTTTTCCCTCTCGCTTTTTTTCCTTCTCTTTCCTTGCCACACACTTCACGCTCTTTGGCATTGTTAAAGCAGAGCTCAAAGCGGAAATCTACGGACCCAGCGATCTGATGGTGAAAACGGGCAGCGACATTAATTTAACCTGTAAAATAATGCAGGGACCGCACGAGTTGGGCAACATATTCTGGTACAAAGGTGCGTATGCGTTATATTATTCTGTGTATGCCGTTTGTCAGGCATCTTCGCAATTTAAACAATTCAATTTGCAACTGACATTCACACATTCCATGTGCTTTATTTATACATAGTACAGCTCCATTCTCCACTTCTCCATTTGCAGGCAGCGAAATGCTCGATGGCAAGAACGAGAACGAAATCGACAGCTCCATGGCACGCATACTCGTCGAGGATGATTGGTCGGATGGTCTGACTTCCAGGTATGTGCGAGTCGAGTCTCTCTCTCACTCTCACTCTACCTCTCTCTCTCTCTTACTTCTCTGCCTGTTTCTCATAATACCCAAGCAAACATCTATTTCAGTTATTTGCATTCAAATGCCTCACACTTAATTAAGTTGAAGAAGGGCTGCGAATGTAAAGTACAGCTGGCACAAGAGCAGGTGTGCGTGCAGAGAGGTGGCAACGGGGCGGGAATGGGAGATACTTTGGGACTCGGGTCCTTATAGCAAGGCTGGCAAACAGAAATTCATTTAAGCGTACAAATATCGTATAATTACATAAATTTAAAAAATCTATATTTATTTTGTGTTTAGTTTATTGCAAAAGCCTTATTGCCTTTTAGGCCATTTGCAAATAATTTCCAAACCCTTGACTTTGCAATCGATTTAATATTTATAAATGACAGACTTTTCAGTCAGTTGTTGATTTATTGATTAAAGCCTTTTTGAGCCTTGGCTCTCTTTCTTTAAATCGATTTCACGAGCTGCAGCTTTGATTTGTATTTGTCGTCAACATTTCTTTAAGTTGCAGGTCAACGAACATTTCAAAAAAGTACAATGAACGCGGCGAAGTTTAAAAGAAGCTGTTGAGAAAAGCAATTAGTTAATGGTTGGCCTGAGTCGAGTCAAACAGGGTATTTAATAGTCCGTTAAGGGCACAATTCACAATTGTTTGCAGTTAGCCGTGTGTGACTTTTAATTCGCTTCACTTTTTGCGAACCAGCAAAATTCCAGTTGCAGTTGCAGTCGCAGTCAGCGTTACAGTAGTTGGTTTAGCTGCCGGCTGCTGCATGTACTCATTGTGCATTTATGCCTGTTAACTAACGACACGGGCAACCATAAAATGCAGTTGCCGCTATCTGAGTGGATAGCTAAGGCCCAAGCCCAAGCCCAAGCCCAAGCGCCAGCCCAAGCCAAAGCCCACCCCTTGAGCACAACTGTGACTTTTAGCATAAAGTAGCAAAGTTTTTAATGTAGCTCGGCTTTCATTTGATGTTAGAATGCGCCTCACGCCCCCGTTTTAACTGCCCCGCCTCATCCCTTCCCCTCCCCACCCAGTGTTGGGCATGTTATTCATTTGCTGGAATTGCCATTCACTTTCAACTAACCCGCTTTGCTTTTTCTCTTTCTGCCTTCACAGACTAAAAATCAAGCGCGCGATGCCCGGCGACACCGGCAACTACACCTGTGTGCCCACCGTGGCAAAAACCTCCAGCGTCTATGTGCACGTAATTATTGGTGAGTATGTGTGTGTGTGTGTGTGTGTGGCGTGTGTGTATTAATGTGTATTGGTGTGTGTGCTGCGCCTGTGGCTGACAGCTTTGCATGTTTATGACAGGAAGTTGCCTGTTAGCAGCGCGCATTGCAATTTCAGCTGCATTTCAACTGCACTGAATGCCAAGTGCACTCTATGCATGGGCGTGTGTGTGTGTATGCGTGTGTGTGGGCGTGACCAGGGGCAGGCACACTTTTGTTTGTGTTTGTATTTGTGTTTTTATGCACTGCGCAAAAAAAAAAATGCATATACACTCGTTTTTGCTGCAAGTTTTGTCCGCTTCTCATTACGTAGGAAAAGCTTTTAAAGTCACCCCAGGTTCAATTTTCAATCGACTTTTAGTTAGCCGGATAAAATATCTAATAAAACATCTGATATAGTATAATAATAGAAACATATCTAAATATCTATGGTAGGCACAACATATTTGTCGTCTTTTGTCTGCTTCCAATCTAAAAATATCGAATAAGCATAACTCGATAATTAAAGGAGCTAGATATGCCAAGCCTCGTAACTAGGTTCTATAAAAGTAAGCCCAAATTAAAATAAAGGAATGCGAATCGAAAATGCAATAGAAATAAAGTATACGAACAGAAATAAGAATAGCAATTGGATAATAGGAATAGTTCACTTTTTGAATACCTCAGAACTTTTCTACCCAAAACTGGAAAAAATTTCGCCTTAAAGATAGATCATTGTACGGGGTATGAACACACTTTCGTATGCCATATTTAAGATCTGAAATTTATCATATAAATCGGGCAATAAAGTCCGAAGTTGTTCAGGCATGCATTAGGCATAACGTGAGGCCAAGGCAAGAAAAAGCATAGACAGTGCTTAAAGTGCGATACAAAAGAAACTTGGAATGCTTGTCACGCCTTAAGTACAGGGTATCTGGTAGTCGTACATTGCCGACTAGCGCACTCTCGCTTGTCATACATTTTGCCTTAGCTGCAAGCCTAAAAGAAGTGCGGAAATTATTTCTTGCTTTCTGAAACGCCAATAATCAAGTCCGGCTCCCAGTGAAAGGCAGCCACAACAAACTTCAGCTGCAGCTTGTGTGCTCAAGTGTGCATATAACAAGTTGTTGTTTGTGTGTTGCAGTTGTTGTAAATGCTGTAGTTGCTTTAGTGTTTGGCTCATTGTTGGTGCTGCTTGTTTGGCAAACAGGAAATGCGCACATGCAAAGTGGAGCAACTGTGTAGCTGGCGTCGATATTATCTGGGCCCAGATAACAGCGCAGCTTGTTGTTGATGTTGATGTGAAGAGTCGAGATTTAGCTACGGGCGATTGAACCTGCCCTTATACAAAGGCAATCAGAAGGCAGCCAGCAGCCAGCTAAAACAGCAACAACAGCAGCTGCCGGAGCTGAGCTAAATTGCATCCGTTTACGCATGCGCTTGACTTGCTTTCTGCAGCTCACCTTCGGCTGCTTTAACAATTAGCTAATGAACTGAGATGAGCACCAACAAGACTTTATCCTTTGTGCTAGTTTTAACCATTTTCAATGCTTTTGTATTTTTTTTTTGTTTGTTTTCTGTTTTCTTTTTGCAGGCGAACACCCGGCGGCCATGCAGCACAATTCGAGCAGCAACAGCAACAGTTTCTATTGCGGCATTTGTTGCATGCTGCTGAGCATCGTCTCCTGCTGCCTGCAGCATTGGTATGTGAGTGCGGCGCCCGCTGAGACAATGGCCGCACTATTGTTGCTGCCACCAAGGCAATTGTCACATGCAACAGCATCAGCATCAGCAGCATCAGTTGCAACAACATCGAGTGCCCGCCCCCGCAACAGCAGCAGCAGCCGCCCTCAAAGTGGGCTGACCCTGGTGCAGTGTGTGAGATGAAGGAATGCAGCTGGATTTTAATCAGCGAGTGCTTCAGGTGCTGGTGATCATGGACATGATGTTAATTGAGTTGTAATGATGAGATTTTAGTTAAATTGATAGGCATGTGTGTGCGATTCGCATTGATTTCGTATCGTAAGTTGAATGCACTTAGTGAATAAACAACAAACATTTTTAGCTCTAAGCGATTTTGCGTAAGTTAAGCCAAGCAGAACAAACACGAAATCTACAAGGAAAACAAAAAGCAAACAATATATATATATATATATATACACACATACAAAAAAGCCAAATAACAGCATATATACACATTTAAACTATATATAAAACTTAACTATTATTTAAGCAAAATGTAGTTGAGCAAATGCACAGTTGTCAACAGAAGCGAGCAGACAGCTTGAAAGAATTATTTTCGCTGTAATTCCCAACTGGTTCAAGCAACGTGCATTTGTCTCCCTCACACACACACACACTCACAAGCCAATAGCAAATCGTTAAAATTAATAAAGAAAACGAAAACATTCTCATTATGAAATAAGACTTACTAGGCTATAAATATGCTTCAATTCAATTCAATTCAATTGTTCTCAATCAGTCAATCAATCAATCCATGCAGTTCAATATTTTGCAATATTCTCTCGCTCTCACTTCTCTCTACTTTTCTCACCCGTTCTCTAGCCACATCAAGCGTATGCATACTTCTGTAGCTAACTGTATTACATTCAATTTGTTTACAGCCATTGTGTACTCTATTGTAATTAATAAGCATTAAACACAAACATAATATTTGCTGTAAATAAACGCCATTTTAATGTTTAAGGCTCTATTCCAAATAACATAAATATATAGCTGAATGTATATATATATATATATTCAGAGCTAGTTTTTGGGGTGAGTCGCGATTCGACTTTCATTTGATGTGCACTTTTCAATCACGGCTAGTGGTCTTTCTTTTAAAAGGAAGCTAATGAAAGTAAGGAATTTCGGCTGTGCCGAATATTAAATACTCTTGCAGAGAAGGAGCTGTGTCAGCTGGGGAGAAGGTATCCCTATTTATATTTCGTGAATAAAATTATCCTGCATTACTTTCCGAACGTTGCCAAGATGGGCGATAACTATCTAGCCCTAATCACATATTAAAATACCCTGCAACCAATTTAAGGGTACATTAGCTATGTGAAAATGTGTGTTTAATGCCACAGAAGTCATCTACACCATAGAGTATACATATTTTTGCTGAACATCAACAGCCAAGTCAACGTCGTCATGTCCGTCTGACTATCTTTTAGTCTGTCCGTCCGTCCTACTAGACAGTCTGTCCGTCTGTTATTCCGTCAGTCTCTCCGATCAGACAATTAATTCTATTTGTCCTTATCTATTGATCTCGAGTCCCACATGAACTAAAGACTTGATACGTTAATAGTCGCTTCTTCGATTGCCTGCGCCGATCAACTTTCAATTGATAGCTGGCTTTGTTTCTTTGAAATCGATAACAATATCCTTTGCTACTTTCACGATTTGCAGGCTCTCGCATAGCTTAAAGAAGTCCAGCCATGTTGTATGAAACATTTAACCAATTTATAATTGACTCTGCAAGGGTATTGTAAAAATATTATGCAAAAGCAAAGTTTAAGCAAACAAAACAAAAAAAGTATAATAATAAATACAAAAAATAAAATAATTTTTGGCAATTAAAAAGCTGCTCGATGCATTCGCAACAGCTCAATTGATGGGCAAGAGTTGAACTAAAAGGGGAAGCAGCAAAAAAGTTAGGGTAAACAGCTTGTTGAAGCTAATGGAGTTTGATAGTTGAACCAAACACAAAAAGGATATATACATTATGCATTAACACAGATATATGTTTGTGTGGTAACTAATTAGTTTTGTGCGATATAAGAGCATATGGAAATGCAAATTAATAATGTGCTTAACGGAAATCGAATGGAAATGTCGGGAAAAGCGAGCACTGTAAATAAATTCATTAGCAGCGAGTGTAGTTTTAATTAACTCTTGAATTAATATATATATGTACACAAAAAATGGAAAAAAAAAACTAAATACAATTTAAATGTTGAAAACTGTGGCACAATTGGCAACACACACACACATACACGAGCAACAGATATCTATGGTATATATATAATAAATAAAATAAATAATTAAAAGAACAACAATAACAATTATTGATAAACACCTTTTGACTAACAAAACACAAATGTAAACAGCAAATGCAGCTGATGCATTAACAAAATACAGAAGATTAGTTAAATTGAATAAAAAAATAAAAAGGTGTGTGCGTGTGTGTGCGCGTGTGTGTGTGTGTGTGCATGTGTGTGTAATTAGTTTAAGTAATGACAAACAACATGTAAATAAACTTAATTTTGCATTAATCGAAAAGACGATAACTAATATTTATATAAAATATATATAAATATATATATATATATATATAACGCATACAGGTGCATAAGCGTTGCACACACACACACACACACACACACAAACACACAGCGGCACAACAAATTTGTCACTTGATGTGTGTTAACTATAAGGGCAAACACTTTAGAGTTCATTCAAAGTCAGCAACACATACAAATAAACCTTGTGTTTGTGTATGTGAACGCAGTATAACTAAGTATTTATGCATAGGTACTCATATATATATATATATATATAAATAGACACACACACACAAACACACACACAGCAAGAGATTTAAACGAAATAAGAGTAAAATTAATTATGAGTTAGAAAAATTAATAAAACATGTCTTTTATTTCCAAAATGTTAACGAATTATTTATGCAAATCGTTCGATTTGCTGTTTAGGCACATTTCAAAGGCAACATAAATATAGAAACTCGTCTTAATCGGATCAAAAATACAAATTTGTTGAGTTGAGTTGGAGGCAAAAAGAACGAAAAAATTCAAAATGGGAAGCTAGGCTGTATAGTTAGGGCGAATAGGCAAGTACCCTGCAATAATGATTCGATTATGGGGAAATATATAAACGAGGAAAAGTATCTAAAATTATAAAAAACAGTTTAGGCTGATTGATTGACTGATTGATTGATTGATGGATTGATGGATTGATGCTGAGCGCACTGTTCAAGTCGAAGTAAGCCGGAAAGCTGAAAAATGTCTAGGAAATGCATGAAAATCGTTTGGAATGGATGCGATTTTCATTCCATTCGTTTTGAAATTAACTTTTTTGAGCAAAGCTTTACCAGTTAGTTGATAGAGCATACGAACAAAAAATCTATTCAAGACAATCTTCCAGATGCGCATAAATTAATGCATACAGTTATCTAGACTTTGTCACATGATCCGAAAGAGCTTGAACAACTATTTTAAGACACATTTAAAATCTTAATAGCGCTGGCTAATGCCTTATGCTAATTATGATTGGAGCAAGCGTAGGGCGCGCCCAGTTTGCTTCTAGTTACATATAAATATATATATATATATATATATCTGATAGATGTATATGTATATAGTTCAAGAACCAGTTAGACTCACGCAGCTGTCAGGTTTTGGGATGAAATGCGTTCGTTGACTCGGGCGAATGTGTGCCAATTGAATTAATTTATTGACATGGATTTCTCGAGAATGTCGCTTTGAGCTATCTATGCCCATATAAAAGTAACTAATTGCAATATTTGGCAAATGTTTACCGCTTGGCCGGGCCACAGAGGTGAATGTATAAATAAGACTGTCGTCTGGCATTGGGAACTTAGTATCTTTGATTTTACACACAAAATGCATTCAATCTGGCTGAGTTTCTGCGGCCTTTTATTGGTGCTGAGCAGCCACGGCTGCCTTGAGGCGGGTGCGTAGCTAGAGAGCCAAACGATTGAGCTCGATCAGACTGAAACTCAAGTTCCATTTGCAGCACCAGCCAAGAAGCAGGTGGCAACCAAGACGGAGCAGCTGGTGCGCGTCTATCCCATCAATGAGGAGCAGTATGAGCGGCTGCTGAAGCTGACCGATGGCAAGAATGTCATTTCGGAGGCGCGTCTGACCAGCGCCGGCTTCACTTCGGTGCGCAACACTCTCGACTCCGGCTGGCATTCGCTGCTGCGCATCATGGGCCTGACCACGACCAGTTACGCGGAGGAGACCAAGGTCGACATCGACGGCCAGCCCCTGTGCGTCATGCAACGCAGTCTGGCCGACGCTGCCAAGCCCGCTGAGAGCGAGCCGCGTGCTCCGTTGGCCCGAGCTGCCGGTGAAGACGATTCGGTTATCAATTGCATTGTGGTGCTCAAGCGGGATCCCGCCTTGGAAGTGCTCAGCTCCAGCAATCCCGACTTTGCGCCCTACTGGTACCATGAAAATGAGCAGCAGTTACAGCTGAAACCCCAAACTGCCGAGATAGTTGCTGAGCAGGTGGCTGCGCCCGAGGACGAGCACGAGCAACGCCTGGCCGCAACGAGCACAGTTGCGCCCAGGAAGCGCAACCAGTCCAAGTCACAGTCCAAGTCCAAGCTGCACAGAACCCGCACCTCGCTTGACTCGGCTGCGCGTCAATATGGCTCGCCTTATGCCCCGCCTCCGCCGCCACCCCCACCACCAGCTCCTTATGGTGGCGGCTATGGTAGCCCCTTTGGCGGCCCTTATCCCTACGGCGGCTACAACCAGAGTCCCTACAGTCAATACAATCCATATGCACCGCCTTTTGGCCAACAGCCGCCGTTTGGCCCCCAGCTACCTTTTGGCCCACAGCCATACTATCCCTCGCAGTTCTATGGACAGGTGCCTCCCTTTAATCCCTATCCATACTATGAGCAAGCCGAGAAGGAAGACAAACACGATGATGATGACGACGACGACGAAGGCGACGAGTTCGGTGAAAGTGCGGAAGGCGAGTTTACGTTAGACTCAGCCTATGATCATGATTTTTACGAATAAACTAGCATTAAATACAATCAAACAAAGAATAGAAAGTGTTTTGATTTTACGCAAGAGCTGAAGAGCTCAAGCGTTGAGAAATAAGTTTAGAGTTTGCTTTTCAGTTGAGCAACATATGAACAACTTCTCTGCCTAAGCCAAGAACTTACAATAATACATAATATATTTTCCAATTTAATTGAATTTCGAATGTTTGAAGTTCGAGTTCGCAATCTCGTTGTCCAAATGTGTGGGTCACTTAGCTATCATGTCTGACGAGAACTTCTGGCTAAAAGGTTATCCTTTTCATATAACTGGGAAGTATTGCATACTTGGTAGAAGATAGTACCACATACATACACTAAACGGGGGTTTGATCCTCGTTTTTTAGTTTCCTGAATGAAAGCTTAGACAGCATTTAGACGCGAGCTTGCTAGAAGCAAGGTCTGATTATAGCTACACTATATATACACTATATATTTTCTCAAATTGGAACATTCTGGATTTAGAACTTGAATTTTCGTTGTTCAATTGCCCAAGCGACTGGCCCAATCAGAAGTCTCAGCCGCTGAGGTCTTTTCCCCAGTCTTTCTTCCAGTCTTTTGAGTAAACCTAGCTTCACTTAAAAGTATGTCAATTCGTTTTGTCTCTTAAAATTTGTTGCTAGGCCAAAAACAGCTCAATAAGTCCGCAAATTGGAGCGCATTTCTCTGCCAGCTGCCAGCAGCTAACTAGATCATAAATAAACAGTTATCGTTAAAAAGACAACACTCATTTAACTTAGTCTTTCACATGTTTTGACCAAATCGCATACCCAATTAAGGGCTTGGTGTTTGTTTTTCTGTTGTTTTGTCAAGTTAAAGCAACTTCTTTTGCAGAACTGGGTCAGCGGGTAAATTATGCACAACTGACCAAAGAGTGCCATTAAAGCGTATTATTGTTTAGGGCGTGGCCGTTTTGTCAATTTAAATGATAATGTCAGCCGCAGATAGACAAATCTTTATAAATATGTTGACGGAGCTGTCGCTGTTTATTCAATCACAGCGATCGACATGAGATTGTTACTGTTTCTGGCGCTGATCACGCTCTGCGCCGTCGCCGCCAATGCGGGTGAGTAGCTCATCGATCCTGGCCAGCTGTTCCACTCCATCCAACACCATGTTGACTACTTTCAGCCCGTACGCAGCTGCTGCGCATACACCAGGTGACGCGCGAGGAGTACAACGAGCTGCTCAAGCTGACCAGGGGCAAGCCGCAGGTGTCGGAGTCGCGTCTGTTGCGCAGCCCGCTGAGCGGCCTGGCCAGCAGCTATATACCCTCGTTCTTCTTCGAGACAAACGACAAGCCGAGCACAACTACAAAGGGTTATCCGCTGTGCGTGGTCTCGCCCAAGGATACCGAATATTATACGCCGCGACATATCAGCTGGAGTTTCGACAATAGTGGCAATAGTCAGAATAATAATAACAATAATAATGATCATGATGATGATGGTGATAGCGATGACCATGGTCATGGTGGCGGACATGATGGCGGACATGGCGGCGGACATGGCGACGGACACGATGGTGGACATGGCGGCGGACACGGTGGTGGACATGGCGGCGGACATGGTGGCGGACATGGTAATGGCAATGGCAATGGACATGGCAATGGCAATGGACATGGCAATGGCAATGGACATGGCAATGGCAATGGCAACGGCAGCGGCAACAATGATCGCCCCATTGTCAACTGCATTGTGGTCATCAAGGGCAACAAAAATAATGACGATAACAATGGTGGTCACGAACATCCGTACCCGACTCCAACTCCGAGTCCCAATCCGAATCCGAGCCCCAATCCCCATCCTCATCCCTACCCCCATCCCCATCCACATCCTCGTCCGCATCCGCATCCCAGTTATCCACTCTATCCACCATTTTACAGCGGTTACCCATGGGGCTATTATCCCGGCTGGTACTTGCCACCACCACCGCCACCACCACCACCACCACCACCACCACCACCGCCTAGGTGCGATCCCGAAAGAGATCCCAACTGCGAATAGTTAGTGTAAAGTAGTTTAGTGTCCAGAGCGAAAAGTAATAAAAATAAATACAAAAATATTCCAAACATTGTGCTCAAATTGTCGCCGCTTAACCAAGAAATCTAAGGTGTGAAACTTGTCGAATCGAACGGTTTTTCTTAACTTTTTCTCAGATAATCGCAGGAATATTCGAATTCTAATTGGACTAAAATCGTATGCTAATTTCGCGTTAGTTTTCAGTTGAGTGCGATCGAAAGTGTCACAAGGTTTGTGAACTAAAAATGCAGAGAAAACAAGTAAGATTTACTTGCCCGACGAGCAGTTACCCCGCACTCAACTAGGCTTGGCTTACATGGCAGCAATGAAGTCCATATAAATCGAAGATGGACTGAACAGACATAGGCTTGGATGGAGTCCATATTTCGTCCACCCGATCAAGAATATATATATATATTCTTTATATCATGCAAGCTCTTCATGTCCGGCTTTTACCATTTTCATTGCTTACAGGGTATATAAAGGCTTGGTCTAGGCAACAAAACAAGGCCAGGAGTGTAAGCAAGTGACACAACACTGTCACTTCCACGCACACACACACCCACATTCCCCTACACACACACACACACACACACACATGTTGTTGGCTTTTGCTGGGCCTGCCGTTGGCGGCACATTGGAACAACAGCAAGGACAACGCGCTGCTAGGCGAGTGAAAAGAGAATAAATTAAAGAACAACTCAAAATATCTGCGGGGCAATTTTTCACTAACAGCAGCGAAAGTAAGCGTATGCGTATGTGTGTGTGTGTGTGTCTGGTGTGTGCCACGGGGGCGTATGTGTGCCGATTTGCCAGCCTACGCCCGTTTGCTGTTAAGTGCAAGTGCATCGATAGCAACACACATCAGCAAAGAGAGACAGAGGGAGAGAGACAGAGGGAGAGAAAGTCAGCTAGAGAAAGTGCGCGCGTGAGATAAGCGAACACCAGCCCCGCACTCGCTTATCGACCGTGCCTCTATGTACTGCAAAATAATTACTTTCATATCCAGCGGCAATTAAATTCATTTAGTTTGGCACCAATTTTCCTGCTACGAACTAGCAGCAGTAACAGCAGCAACAACAACAACAACAATGTGGGGGAGACACGCCATGAAGACATTCATTCATGCCATATTCAAGTTGAACCCGTTGACCCACGCTGCCCCAGCCCCAACTACGTCTGGCTAGGCAGCTCTCTAAACTATGTCAAATGTTAACTTTTTTAGCCGCTGGCATTCCGCTTCTATGGCTTACATCTTGTTCAAGGACTCTACATAGTTTATCCATACACGCACACGCACGCCCACACACACACACACGCACTTAGCCACGCACAGCCACGCCCACTGCGCAATGGGCCTGCGTTGAAAGCAAACAAATTGCTGTAGGCATTGCAGATCTCCCTCTCTCTCTCTCTCTCTGTCTCTCTCTCTCTCTCTCTCTCTCTCTCTCTCTCTCTCTCTCTCTTGATCCTAGCTGAAATCAACTGTTATTCAACACTGCTTCAGAGGATTTGCTAGGCAATCGATTAAAGCCAGAAATCTGTTTACAAATTGATGATGGTAAAATTAATTTTAATGCAATTCAATTAACATCTGCTGAAATTGTAAAATAGAATCAATAATTAAGGTAAGCATGGCAAAATATCAAACTAAATTAAAGAGTTGAACTAGCAAGCAATAAAATGCTGGTTCAAACTCTGCGGCAATAGGTCAAACTTGATGTTTATTTATTAAATTCGTTATTTTTGGTTAGTTTTGTCTATTTCAATGCTGTCAGAGGTTCTTCTTCGTATACAATATAAATTAAAATATTATCGGGACTAACTGAATTATTAGTTGAGGTGCTTTAGACTTATCAGAATGACGTGTCAACTCTCAAGCGGATATATATATAGGATAATAATGTCATTTTATAATTACAGACAGCGCCTTCTGTTTGTTTCCACAATTAAGGAAATTATAGAATTTTCTTCAAAATGAAAATAACATAATTTCTTTGGCTCAAACACGCATTAAAGGTATATTTAATATAATGGCGTCATCTAAAATTAAACGCAGACTAAGCATATGTATGTACATATATATATATATTTATATATATATGTATATATACGAAAGGAATCGAATCATTTGACGGTTTTCACACTTATTACGAGCTCTTGATAAAACTCGTTCAGTGTCAGTTGTATAAAAGCCCACGCCCACGAGTGTCATTTGGCTGAGACGAAGAATTGATAAGTGCCTTGTGGTTGTTGCGGCCATTAACACGCACATGCACACACGCACACAATCAAGTGTATACAATAAGAGATATATAAGGAAGTGGGGCTGAGACTCACACACATTCATACACACACATTCATATATAACGAGCGCCTAACACACGTCAATCAAATATGGCGTCAAATAATCATTAAGAAGCACACACACCAATACACACGCACACGCACACGCCAATACACACGCACACGCACACACACACTTGAAGCGCATCATTTTAAAAGGAACAGCAAGAACAGGCTGTGGCTGTTGTTTTGTGGGCGTGGCTCCTGTGTCGGCTGTCATGTAGTTGACATTTGATTTGACTGACAAAAACTGATTTGCGGACTCTCCGGCATACAATTGAAGAGGGTCCCGTCCGCACAGTTTTGTCAATTTAATAATTGCCAAACATTTTGTAAGACAATATGCATGAAAATATTTGCAATAAATGATTCAAAAAAAAGAATAACAATAAAGGAAATGCTATAATTTTGTATAACAATTTTCAAATGGTGGCAAAGTTCACTAACGAGCTGTGATTTTTCCAGCTATCAGGCGAGCCACAAGCAGAAGCAGGACGCTAGACTGCAGGCCAATGCGATTGACGTCAATTAAGTGCTATAAGCGGCAGTCAGGCAGTCAACCAGCCATTGGCTCTAGTCAGTCTGTGGCAAGGGGAGGTGGGGTGGCTTGTGGATTTCGAGGGGGGCTGGTTTATTGGTGGCTCGTCTCGTTGCTGCTTTGTTTGCTGCTGTTTGGCAGCTGGTTATGGCATAGGCGCGCGCTTTTGACACACTTTACGGGGCACCTAGCAGATTGATTGCTGCCACTCAATTGGCAACACCACGCACACGCACACCAACACAGACACGCACACACCAGCACACACACACACACACACACACACAAAGTGATGCACACGCATAACCTTTGGCCTGAGCTCGCCTCTGCCTCGTTACACGCAACATTGCGCCAGCGAATGTTGCCTACTGTTTCCTTTTTTTGTGCTTTCTTTTTTATACCCTTTAAGCAAGTAGTTAAATTTTGTCACACGATGTGTAACGCATAGAAGAAGACATTTCTAATATCATTAGATATATATACCCTGTGTATATATATGAAACCTTAAGATCTATAGACTCCTATTGCCCGCGTAGGCGAAGCTTTCGCATTATCAATAACTTGTGTACAAGTAATCGATAAATATTGTATGTAGACGTTATGCATGTATGCATATGTGCATGTAAGCATATATGCATGTATGCATGTATGCATATATGCATGTATGTATGTATGCATGTATGCGTGTATGCATGTATGCGTGTATACATATACGCATGTATGTATGTATGTATATATGCATGTATGCATGTATACATGTAGCCATATATGCATGTATATATGTATGTATCTATGTATATATGGATGTATGTAAGTATGTATGTACGTATGTATGCATGTATGTACGTATGCACGTATTTATGCATGTATGTATGTATGTATGTAAATATGTAAATATGTATGTATGGATATATATATGAATGAATGTATGTATTGCACACTCAGAACCTGGATTTTTCACTTTTTGGCTACCTCCAGCATTTGAGATATATTGGAGGTTATTATCGGGCCTCGATGCTTACATACGTTTCAAATACATATTCGAATCAAAACAATTGCATAAGGATCGGACTCCAAACACCGGGGTCCCATACGAGCTTGAAAAAGAAGCTGCGGCAGCTCGAAGTTAATTTCAGGGTATCTGCAAGTCGGTCAGTCACTACTAGTGCATCTTACTTCAGTTTTTTCGTTTCAGCCAATGCTTGACAAGCGATTAGAATAAATTGCAACAAGCTGGCAAAGCGACAGCAGCCAGAGCAGAACCAAAGCCCGGATAGAGGCTTAACGCATGCATTTGACACGAATGTTGCGGCCTGACAGATTTCTGCTTGAACAAGCACTCAATAGCTCAATATATGCAACTGCCACCGGCTGTTGCAAGCAGCTAGCTGCTGGCTGCCTGCTGCCAGCTGATTGGTTGCAAGCTTTCAAGTGTTGCATGTGTGTAATCAATTTTAGTGGCGTCGCAAACTTTTTCAATCCGTTGCCATTCAATTAAAATTTTTGCAAAACTTTGTGAGCTCCAAAAGTGGCCCTACACACACACACACACACACACACACACACACACACACACACACACATGCATGCACAGCTATATATATATATTTATATAAATATTTATTTATACGATATAAAATATATAGATTTATATATCTGCTCGCCTTTGAGCGGGTTTTTATTGGATTGATTAATGTGCTTTGCCAGAAAACTTGATGAATTGGCATTTTCAAAGGCGCATTCGTGCCTTTGAAGCCAATCGCAATTCACATCTCTTGTCGATATATATAAATATATACATATTCATATTTATTTGAGTATTGATATAATTGAGCTCGGCATACATCCTGCTTGTTAAATAAACCTCTTCACACAGTTAGTCAATTTATTATTTATTTTATTAGCTTTAATTGAACATAAATTTCATTCTTGAACTTTTAAATTGAATTCCAACAAACTGCATCAATTTCTCCGATGGACTTAAATATTATTATAACTTTCAAATGTTAAATCCTCTTCGTATTGTTTGCCTATAATTAACCCTCTATTATGCTATTGCTTTAAGTGGCATACTGCCCGTCCCCCCTTCTCACATTGCTCTATCATTTCCAAGCAATATCCATAATCCGTAATGAAACTTAAATAAATATTTTGTATTCGCCTGCAATTACCATAATGCGAGCTGCTATGCCTCAAACATTTCTTCAATGTGTTAGACATTCAATGACGGGCACATTCAAAGGGCATTTAAGTCACATTTGATTAGTTTTAATTATAATTTGACTGCTGGAAAATGTTGGCTGACATTTTCAATTAGACATATGCTTTAAGCTCTGACAGGAAAATGGCCAACTGACTTTTCAACTGCACGCAAATTATTTTAATGGCATTAAGCTAACTAGTTAAATTCCCATATACACACACACACACACACACTCACACACAGAGACTTGAGCATCGTTATAATTTTGCAGGCGAATACAAAAGCCTGACGTGAGAAGCAAATTTGTCTTTGTGTGTGGAAGACTAAATTGAAATTCTATGCAAAACTTAATCAAAAATTGTTTAGCAATGCACAAGCAGAGCACAGCACAAAAAACAACACACAACACATACAGGCACACACACTCTTAAGAAATGACATCAAACTTTAGAAGAAATTGAAAAATAATAACAAAAAAGTTGCCGTGGCAGCCGCAGTAGCTGTTGTTCTTGTTGTTTCTGTTTTTCTTGCTCTAATTTAATGCGTAGAGTTTTCTTTTCAATACCCTTTCAAGGGTTTTTACAATTGTGTCACAAATTTGATCACGCACAAGGGAAGACTTTTTAAAAGAAAAAGGATATATTTATTTAATTAATTTATAGAGACATGTCCATCTCTCTGTCTATCTGTTACTTTTAAGGCTTATGTCAGGCAAGTTGGCCAAGAGCCGCTTTTCTGTTGCAGCCAATACGTAGGTCGACACCAGTCCGGATCGGAACACAATATCATATAGTTGCTATGTGTATAATCGTACTAAAAGGATGTATTAAATATGAATTTGCTTTTGTAGATATCTTGAGCAAAAGTTGCCATAATATCACGTAGCTGTATGGAGAGAATGGAGAATAGCTCGAAAATGAATTGTATTCCAAGACATCTTGGCTAAGCTCAGCAAATATGAGCCTCATTATTCTCCACACATATCTGCCTCACCCTAACACTCTATATGAGAACTTGGTCAGAAATATCGCAATTGCTCAAATGCATATCTGATGTTAGGGTATTCAGGCTTTGGTGTGCCACAGAGAAGCCTTCTCTCTCTCTTGTTTCTTTTTTTTTGGTTTTAATTTATATAGGAGCTCGCAGCACTCGGCACCTGAACCGGTTAGTCGCTGCCTGAAGATGTTGCTGATGCTGCTGCCATTATTCAATCTGATGGAGTCTTAGTAGGCCGCCACTTGCCGTTGTTATTGTTGTTGTTGTGGTTATTGCTGTTTGTATTTTAATAAAAACACTGGCAGCAACAGCAACAACAACAACAGAGTCGAGAGTAAATCTTATTATTTTATCCTTTGTTATTGCATTTGCAAAGCTGGCGACTGGCTTAGCCGGCGCCTTCTGCTACACTCTCTCTGTCTTGTTCTTGTTGATGATAATAAATCTGCATGTTGTTGCAGCTTATGGCGAGTTGCGATACTGGGCTGGGCTGGACTGGGCTGGGCTGCGGTGGGGTGGGGTGGGGTATGGGCTAGGAGGGGGCGTGACAGTCAGTTGGTTTTGATTTTGCTGTCACTTGGACCGACCCGTACAACGAAGAACGAACAACGTCATATGTCAACTGCATCAATATTTGCATTTTGATTGAAACTTACAAGCAGCAGGCAGGCAGCTGGCAAACATTTGCATATGCTAGCATAGAGATAGCGAGAGATTGGCAGGGGGAGTTCAGGAGAGAGCGCATACACATTCGTCTTGGTTAATCCTTGGCCACTTTAAATGACACAACACATGCATTTGCTGACTTTAAGACGCTTTGCGTCAATTATGAGCAGACATTTTTCTCTCGCTCTCTCCCCACTCGATATTGTCAATGCCAACTGCCAGTTATGTTGTTAATTTCACTGACAACGCACATTAAATGCAGACATGCGTGCAGTAAATGCAACTGCCAGCTGCCCAGAGCCAACAACAGACCCCCCCCCCCCCCCCCCTGCCTACCTTCCGCCGATATACTACCACTTCACCGAAAATTGTTAGCCCACAAAAGCTATTTGAGCATAATCAGTGCAAAGTGCAGGCCAGTCCGGCAACAGCTTTGCTCAGCCTCCCTGCAAATGGCTATTGCTATTAGTATTTGCCATGGGCATTGCTTGTTTTGTTCTTGTTGTTGTTGTTGTTGTTGCTGGTTGGCATTGTCGTTGTGCCAAATTGGGTCAAAATGTGTTAAGATATGACTCGCCATGCCAAAATAAATGAGTTAATCAACAGCCAGCGATAACAGCCGCAGTCAGCGGCAATCACTGCAACGGTTTTAGCCCTTACTTTAATATAAATTATTCGAATATATTTGATACACATGAAGAGTAAAAGTAAAAGCCCATAAGTTTATCTCAAAGCTAGTAATCGATAAGTGCAAGCTACCAGACCTAGTTCCATCTCTAAATAAGGTGTGACCAGCTGCAGTTAATACTTTCGACAGGTTCGACTCTAACCTAACGTATTTATAGATTGCATTATAAAGTTATATTCATTGGCAAAAGCAATAATTCATTATTGATGCCAAACGGCTGAAATGTTATCGATTTAAGTGTCAATAGCCATCAATTTGATCGATAATTAATCGACATTAGTGCCATCTCTAGAGCTTATAAGACAATCGATCCAAAAAACAAATACAATACTTTTGTGGATAAGTAATCGATATTTTTGCCCAAGTCTTATGCGTATCGAATGATCGATTAAAAGAAGTGTGACCGTATGCAATACTGTAATATTATCGACCCTAGTGCCA